CCCCCCCCCCCCCCCCCCCCCGCGCCCCCCCCCCGCCGTCTCCCTCGTCATCAACGCCGCCCCCGTCCCCGCCTCCCACGCAGCCTCCCTCCCCCTCCGCCGCCACCGCGTCGACCGCCACGCCGCCGAGGTCACCTACCTCGCCACCGACACCGTCCGCCTCACCGGCCCCGCCGACTTCGAGGTCTACGAGAACGACAAGCTCTTCCTCTGCGGCTCCCTCGACGCCGACTGGGGGAACGCCTCCGGATGGGTCATGGACTGCCACCTCGCCGCCGGCTCCCTCGCCTCCGGCTCCTCCGCCTTCTTTAGACCCCGCCTCGGCGTCTCCGCTCCCTCCATCGAGGTCTACGTCGCCGGCTGCTGCTCCGGCGTCCCCGTCATTCTCACCAAGACCATCCAGCTCTCTCCCAGGCGGAGGCTGCCCCGCCATTCCACCCTCGACGCCATTCCCGAAGACGACGAGACGGACAAGAATCGCGTTACTGCCAACGCCTTTCTTTCTCACCGCAAGTTGCAGGTATCATGCTAGCGCATATCTTTTCCATGTTATCATTCAATCATGAATCTTCATTATTAAGAGATTCTCGACTTTTATTATAATTGCTTTAGAAATTTTAGTCATTCACACTTTATATTACAGCTGTGGCATTGTATTTAACTTATAAGGCGATTTACACGTACACTTTAGGAGGTCTTGTAAAGTTGTACACAATTCTTTTGTTTTTTTTAACATTTACAGCAACCTCTCTCAGAAACAAAGTATAATGTTTTTCGAATAATTAAGGGGTTATTGAAATGTGGGAGAAGTGTTATTGTAATATTTCTCAAACAATTAAGGGGTCTGTGTGGATTAAAAATGTAAGGAGTGTGGGTAGTTTTGGGAAATCTCAAAGGATGTCTTCATAATCTACACTTCGATTAAACCCTGGCTTTATTTTAGAGTTGCGATTTTGTGGAGTTGGGGAATAAAGTAACTGACGCTTGTGGTCTCAAGGAATAGTGTGGGGGGTTACTTATTGTGGTGTCGGTTTTCTTTGGAGTTGCATTTGTGTATTTGTAGTAGTTAATACTTTTTAGCTAGCTTTTGACCGAGCATTTCGTGACATGTTTGTTACTGCTGGACATGGATCCAGGATGCAACTAATAGTTGTTTTTATGTTGTTTTTTATGTGAATTTCTCATACATGTATTGATCACCGGTGCTGAAGCAAACACATATTGAATGGATTTAGGAGGATTATGAGGTTGTGCGTATGAATGGGGTTTTGTGTTGTCTTTCTTTGTATGGAATCATGGTCATGGCTTTTTTGTAATGTGTAGCGTCTGAATTGTGCGTGGAATTTGGGAGACTTTGTGGTGGGTGTGTAAAGGTCATTGCTTGTGTAGTGCCAAAAATTTTTATTTTGCATTGTATATGTCCTCATTGAACTATATTTACAGAAACTAAAAACATATTTTACTCATTTAGATATATGTATATATTTGAATTTGAATATGCCTGCTTAAGAATGAAGGGGCTGTAATTGCAGCTATTTGGTGACATTAATTAAGTAGTTTCTTAAAAATGAAAATTTGATATTTCATTTTTGATAAAAATGTATAGGACAGTAAAGCATGCTGATGGTTCTGAAAAAAGGCATAATTGATTATTTTTCTGTGCCATGACCAGACCTTACCGTAGTGATAGTTATGTGGATTTAATTTTCATCCATTGCCAGTTCAAAATATTTTAATGCTGGCATGTAATTCAATCATAGAAATTGTTTGACTGTTAGAACCACTACCAAAATATGCTAAACACAACTGAAATATAGTGTAACCACACTGAATATGGATCATGTATATATATTCAATTCTGAACTCGTAGTTTAGAACAAGTTTCATTCTGATAGTTTTGAAAAGAGGAATAGTTGATGATGGATCATGAACTAGTAGTTTAGAATACGTGTCATTCTGATAGTTTTTCAAAAGAGGCATAGTTGAAAATGGGTCATGTATGTAAATTCCATTCTCAACTGGTAGTTTAGAATAAGTGTCATTTTGATAGTTTTAAAAAGAGGCATAGTTGAAACCAATGAAGTCTAGCACAATTGATTGATAGCATAATTGAAGGTGAAACTTAACAAATTTATATGTGATCCTTGCATCTTGTTTGGACTCTCCTTCAGTATGCTAACAAGAGTTTGATTTCCTAGCCATGCATATGAAAAAGACTTTGTTGAGAGGCAAATCTATTTCGGCGATCTCTACCCATTAAAAGGAATTAGTCTCCAACTAGCGGTTGAAGGATATCTTTGGTGCAAACCAAAAAAAGGACAGGCATAGTTGATAGTGCTCTTACCACCTAATAGTTTGATCATTTTATTGTATCATAACCAAACCTTTCTGGTTCTGCTGCTAGTTTTTTCATTCACCCCATTAGAAAGCAATATGTGTAATATGAATAACAGTTTGGGAACCAGGCACCCCCTTGGTCGATGAGGTACTCTAAATAGATGGATCAGTGTTAAGCTGATAGCTGTTGAGTGATGAACTCCTTTGCTTTTAATTCCAATCATGCAAATTTCTTGTCAAGTATTGTCTGGTGAAACGGTCCCTATTTTCTGTTCTCATTATTGCTTGAATCGTTATGGTTGATCATATAGAAATAATAGCCTTTCTTTCAGTTACTTCTTATGTGTTTAATATGAAGGCCAACTGTCCAAGAACCTGACTTGCGGCATCCAAATATATATGATGCCCACATTTATCCCACTTTTCCATAAAATAATTGGATTTTCTAGTTCTCATTGCATTCCAAATGCCTTGATTTCTTTTAGTACAATTGGTCAAGATATGGGTGGTAGAGGTCTAGATTCACTGTCTTAGCTGAACCTTATGGTTTCTGAAATATTAATTGTTTTACATTGATTTGCAGTTAACTGGGTCAGAAGTTGATGATTACGATTCTGATGGGAAGATGGGGAATGGTTTCTACTCTCAAGAGATGTATCCCGGCGAGGATGGACAACTCTCATGGTTCAATGCCGGTGTTAGAGTTGGTGTTGGGATTGGCCTTGGGATGTGCGTAGGGATCGGGATTGGTGTTGGGCTGCTCATGCGTTCATACCAAACAACAACCAGGAACTTCAGGAGGAGATTTTTCTAAACTGTAATAAGGAATTTGCTACTCTAGTTTAATGACAAGAACAAGAAAATATATTTGAGCTCAATCAAGGGTGTGATGGGACATTCCTGGAGGAGGAACCAAAATTCAACAAGTCAAATGCATGAAGCGTAAGTTTTGTAGCGTACTCTTGCGGATACGTTCATGTGGACTTGAAGATTTGCATTTCGTGTAAATTTTATCTGATCCTCCCACAACAATAGATATCAATAAAAGAGCAATACAACTGCTTTGAGGATGTGGTGTGCCAGCAGGATTTGGTGTTCAGTGACCAGCATAAGGTTGCGAGAGATTTTGACTGTCAACATGTGCCGAGATTTTACAGTTCGTTGGCTTGTAGATACATTTTTACCATTTCTTACAAATTTTGAGAAGTATATAAATATATATATGTTAGAGTAGAGAAAAAGCAAGTCTTTCTATTCATAACACGCAAAAGGTATATATACAAACTGATACGGAGAAACAGGAAAAAATAACCACGTAAGGATAACCACCTAATAACTGTTATAGCACAAACAAGAAGCATATTTACAAACATTCCATTATAACCAAGTATATATATTTTACACTCGAGGATGATTGACTGAGAGTATTCAAGTACCTGGAAAAAGAAAAACAAGAAGTAGAAAAGACAAAAGTGGAAGGACAAAGAGAATGATGATGGAGAGTTAAGAGAGGTTGAAAAATTTATATGGGTCCTTTCCTACTCTTTTGCCTGTCTGCCTCTGCAGCAAAACGGACAAAAGTAGGACAGAGAAATTTTTAGAGACAGAGGATAGAGAGAAGCTAAAGAGAGTCATTCTGGAATCAGAATTGCTTCATCGTCCGAAGAGAAGTTCTGAAACAGCGTCCGAATGTATAAAATATTCATATTTTTTAATAAATTTATTATAAAATAATTATTTAATTTAATATTTATAATTTAAATTATTTTTTTAAAGTTTCGGAGTATGTTTCGGAACATATTTCGGAATGTGTAGAGTTTTTCTTCTAGTAATCAAAGTCCCTCAAAAAACAACTTGGATCCTCTTCCTTCCCTTTTTCACACTTGTTTGAAGGTGAGGAAGAAAAAATATAGAAAAGAATGAGAAGAAAAATAAATAAGAAATATAGTAAAGAAAAAAGTAATTTAGTTGAATATAAATAAAATATATAAAAAAAAACAATAGAGTTAAGATAATCTTTTTGAGAAATTATTCGGTTTAAAAATAATAAATAAATATTAATTAATTAATTAATTAATTATTATTGTTGTTGTAAATATTGCAAACATGATACTTTAACTTTTTTATTTACTTCTTTTTTTGGTTTTTAGTGTATAATTAGTCTACGAAAAAGTGAACTGTGTATTAATTTAGTCATTTTTCATCTATTCAAATTAAAATTAGTATTAATGAACAAAAGTAAGGCATTCTTTAACTTTTTTTTTTCTAAAATAAAAGTCTCCTTGCATTTTTCTTTTAGAGGACACTTGATACAAAGATTTTATTTTATTTTTATGCGAAAGAATCATGATTCCTAGTATTGTGAGGTGAGGTCAAAATTAGTACAAAATATAGTATATTTTGACGTTGGTAGCAGTAACGTGGCTATGAAGACAGATCAACAATAGTGGAAGTTGCCAATGTTCGGAAGAAAAAAGACGAATATACATTTGAAAAGTAAAACTAGTTCTAGAAGAAATACTTATTGATACTATTATATCTAAAATATTATAATTATAACATTATAATAATATACAAAAGCATGAAAGGACAACCAACATTTATGTTTCACGGATTTTCGATGCAATTGTTGTGCATTACAGGTTTTTTAAGCAAATTTTTATATTATATATTATTTATTTATTTATTTATTGGATGTCTAACTCTACATACATGTCAATATGTCATGAGTTGAGAAGCAAATATGTATTTATTAATTTTTTTTAGAAGAACTAGTAGTGGTCGGTCGAATACAGTTAATATCGAATTTTTTTTCTTAAACCGATTTTGACTGTAATAACCCATTTTAAGATAATACTGTGCCGTTTTAAAAGGAAAGAGTTATGAATGTGGGATGGGAAGTAGTAGGATGGTGATACATCAATAAAGATGAAAATATTTGGTGTGCTTTATGAAAGAGGAGAAAAAATAGGAGCAACAACACTTGTGAGAGATAGAAGAATGAAAATATTTTGTGCTACAAGAAGAAGAGAAATAAATGTACAACACTAATAAGAGAGAGAGAGAACAAATGTCAAAGATGTGTTTGAATAGAATGTATTTGATTGTAAATGTGCAAGATAGCTACTAATAATAATATAAAATAAATTTATTTCTTAGGTCTATTATTCAGTTGGGTGTGGATTTAGACAAAAAAAAAAAAAAAAAATTTAACCCGAAACCGTCCAACAATATCCACATGAAATCAAATTTTTTTTTAACACTCAAATCGATACTTAATTTAAAACTGTTCGATATAATTTGTTTAAAAAGGTAGATATATCGGTTTTTGGTTGGCTTGGGTAATCTTGCACACCCCTACTCACAATGGTGTTGAATAGATTTTGATTGTATTGTACTTAAAAGAACTTTGACGTCAAAGATAGTTTTAGAGAAAATGAAGAGAAGAATTATTAATTGAAATCATATACATTGGGTGAAACCTTTTTATATTAGATTTTGACGTGATAAAACCATTATAGTCGTTAAGACTCTCAGTAAATGTTAAAGCACTTTAGGCCACGCATGGGTCAAGGTGGCCTTTTGTCTTAATTAAGTGACGAGATTCTATATCTTTAATAATTTTATATGTAATTTAAATAAATAAATAAATAAAAACCTCAAACAAACAAACATCAATTCAATAGATTAGATACTTTTCAGATCTGATTTTTAATGTCCATTTGTTTTTTCTTTCAAAAATTAAAAGTAAAGAGCTATGTTAATGTATCTTGATTAACAAATTAGTCCAAATTTAATACCTGTAATCCGTAATAACCTATTATACATTTTAGGTTAAATTATATTTTGATTCTTCTATTTTTTCAATTTACAATTTTGTTCTTTTATTTTGAAATATAGATATTCAGTTCTTTATTTTTAAAAATAAAAAATTTAAGTTTTTCTTTTATCAAATTAACATATATTAATAATTAAGTTTTAACATTTATTCATAATTAAATAATATAACATTTAATAACATTAATTATTAATAAATTAAATATTAATCACTAATTAAAATATATAAACAAAGATTTTTTATCTGTTATTTTTTAATTTTTATCTACACATATCATGTTATTTAAGTAGTAACAAGTCAATAAATAACGTTTAAATTTAATAATTAATAAACATCAAAATAACATAAAGATCAAAATTCTATATTTTTAAAAATAAGAGAACGAAATATTTTATTTTAAATTAGGAAACCAAAATTACAATATTTAGCCTGCATTTTATCAAGAATAACCATATGCCTTTTTCTGCTAGTTCTATTGCTTCCATGCTTATGCCCTAAACCACATAAAAAAAGAGCTTACAAAGAATTGTTCCTGCTTTGAGCTTCAAATAGTAATTTGGGATATGGTATATGTTCCAGCCTATGTTTCAAATAGTATTTAGAGTGGCATAAAGGCTTTAACTCTTAAGATTAATTGATGCAAGTAGCCAACTAGACATCTTAGAATATGTCAATGCCTTTGCTTCATGTCACAATTAGGGATCCTTTGTAAAGTCATTGCACGCAATTACAACATGATGCCAATATTTTCTCAATTTGATCATACATTTCTCCTGAACCCTAAATTATGATTCTTTGTAAAATTCTTTGTTTTTCATTATTAGCTTTTCTTTAGCCAAAATGGTTTTTGTCCCTTCTAGTTTTGATCGTAACAATGTTATCAATGTAATTTTCAAGTTGATGCAATGGTGTTTTTATTTCGTATGACATTGTGCTCTCTATCACAATCATTGTGAGGGAAAACAGTACTATGTTAACATCAAATTCACAACTAGATTCGATCGTGTTGAGTGCAAAACAGTCCTGAACATGTCGTAGCGTGGGCAAAAACATTCTTCCATAATCAAATTCGATTACAAACATCTTTATACACCGACAGATAATTAAAAAAAAATAGTAATGTGTTTTATGAGAGACATTGCTTGGTCTGAAAGAATGAAGCAAAGAGAAATGCGTAACAGTGAAGCATGTGCATGTGGCTGAAGAACTCAATGTTTATGGAGCGTCCAAAGTGTTTTAATCCGACAGCTGAGGGGGCTTTGGACCAAAATATCATGTGCTTCACCTAAAACCTCAACCCCTTCAGGTCCCATGCACCATTTGTTAGCGTCAAAACAACTATTCTAACTCTTAATCATTTCTATACCTTTTGTGATTAATTGTCATTAAATTTATGCTCAATTAATATAAAATGATTAAACAGCATTAATTATCTATATTTATCATGTTAGGAACTTTGGATACAACAATTTTATGAGTTTTCTTAAATATTTTATTATAAAATCTTCACACTAAAACGTAATGCATTTTCAATGTATTTTTATTATTAAATAAGTTCGTTTGATTTTATTATTAAGAATATATATTTTCTTTTACTGAATTAAGAATATAGATTAAGATTGACTGACTGCATAGAATGTATATATCAAAAGTGTTTGTCGCTATTTTAAAAAATCCTGAAATATTTTTTTAAATACAAAATGTAATTTATAAATATGTCATTGTCATATCTATACTATTAATAAAAAACGATATGTTGTTTTAGACTACACATTTCATTGATGATTTGCTCCTTAACTTGAAAAAAATATTTTTTCTTTCTCATACTTTTTTTTATATTATCTTTTTCTCCACCTTTTTCATAATTTTATTTTTAAATTTCTCATATGATCTAAATAACTACTCAAAACTATTCACATCTCTCTAATTATTAACTATTTACATATATTAAACTTCAATTATGAAGCGTGTTTTCTACACTAATATAAATAATATAAAAAATAAGAGTATTTTTAGATATATTTTTCAAGAGAACATTTTTAACTGATTTTATTTAAAAATTTTAGAAATTTTCACAAATTCTTTTTTTTAATCAATTACTTTATTTTAAAATTAAATTTTAATATCTTTTACAAATAATTAAAAATAATTTAATATCATAATAGAATTAGTTATTATAAATTTTATTCTTTATATATCTTGTTTTTTTTTTGCACATGATAGATTTATATGTTGAAAAGTATTTATTTATTTTAAATTTTGATTACATAAAAATAAAAATAAAATTATCCTATATTATACGACTAAAATACTAATTATATATAATTTATTTTTATAATTATATATATTTTTTGCGTCACAAAATTACTTTTGAAATTTGAGCTAAAAGTGATAAAAAAAATATTAAATTTAATCAACTTATTTAATTTGACTTAAGTTCTAAGCGCATCTGCCAGTTTGCCATGGTCATGACCACTTGTTTACAATAACTCAAATCCTAAAGTGCAATTTATCTGTAACTTTTTGCTGCGACAAATTGTACATCTAGGTTGAGTTATATTATTGTTATTATTATTATTATTATTATTATTATTATTATTTATTTTGCATTATATCATTAATCCTTTTAGTTTTAAAAAAGTTATATGAATTAAATGTTTAAATATAATTTTTTTTCCTTTTCTACGGCAGGATATAAGATAATACTTATCTTATTCTAGTTCGTGAGTGGTGTGATTCTTTTTCTGGATCAAGCTAGAATTTTCATTTCTCCCACATAAAGTAACATTGTTCGGCGACACGGATAAGACACAGTGATACTCACTCAGGTACTTAGCCAAACTTCATTTGCCTTCTCCTACTTTGTGTCTCTTCTATCACTGCTGCGTTTTGGTAAACAATCCTACCTCCAAAATTATGATGATATCATTAAAAAGTATAAGTAAATTATTCATTACTTTTACTTTACTTTTGCCATAAAAAATAATTATTTCTTATTACGAAATAATTCCAAACACACCGCATGATTCTCTGTGATAATCGCGGTCCCGGGATCCATTTCGCCCATAATCACGCTTCTTTAAAATTTAGTTAGATTTTGTAGCCTTTTGAAACGTGTTACCTTCCAAATGTCCAAACCTTCCACGTTTCAATCCTAGAAAACCTAAACTTACATTTTTATTCACCCTAGCTGTTTATTAAATGGGATGGTAAGTTTAAAATTAAATATAATATGCACCCATCATTAGAACATACACTATTTTAATGACATAAAGTAAGTTGTTTTCAAAGCTAAGAATTCACATAGCCCAACCTAATCCTTCTCATAATCTAATGTGCTATTGCCCCTTGTTTTTTACCCTAAGTTTCGATGATTGCCACAATTTTCTATTAATCCCCTGCCCTTCCATCTTATCACTTCGGATTTTGTAAGGACCCAAGGAGACATCATTTTTGCATAAAGGAAAGTCAACACTCAACATAGGACCTTTGAAGCTACGCTTCTGTTCTTTCTCTCCTTAGCTCTTCGGTCACTGTTGCACTTTAATGTTGTGATATCAAATTCATTAAACACATTTTCTTTTGATATGTCATTTAAAATCCTGTCTTATACCCCACAATTAAAAATAAATAATGGTTGCTATTTTAGTTATATTATTTTATTAATTAATAACTCATAACTAAATTATAATAAAACAATTACCCCATAATTAAAATTAAGAGAATGTTCTTATAAGATTTTGTTTAAAAAAAAAAAATACTAAACCGGATAACCGCCATACGGTGACTCACTTGTCACTACTAGGCAAGCGTAGAAGGGGTTCAAGGGCACAACGGTAATTTCGCCCCGTTTTCGACGTGTATATAAAAGGGTTGGTTGGTGTCCGAAATTACGGAAACGAAAATCGCGAGAGGACTGAACGAACGAAGGAAACGCAAGAGAAGAAGAAGAGCGAAGAGCGCAGAGTGACGGGTACAAATTCAAAGGTTATTGGAAAACCCCCCAAACAGTAACACGATCGATTGAGGTTACTGTTTCGGTCTTGATGGTGTCGGTTAACCCTAACCCCGCCCAAGGCTTCTACTTCTTCGATCCTTCCAACATGGCCCTTCCCGGCGTCAACAATCTCCCGCCGCCGCAGCACCCTCCGCCGCCTCCCGCCGGAGCACCCTCCGCCGTGGAGGATCCCAATAAGAAGATCCGGAAACCCTACACGATTAC